CCCCCCCCCCGGCCCCGCCCCAACGTGTCTTCCTGCACTTACGGCAGGACTAGGAGCTGATCGCCAGACTCTACCTCTTCGAGAGAAGAATGTCGCAAGGTTGGGAAAGAAAACTCTGGATTTACGACCTTAGGGCTCACTTTCCGGCCAATCCAGAGGCGCCTGAAGGCTGCTTGGGTTGGTGAGGCCCGAGACAGGTAAGAAGCCTCCTCCCCACTTCGGTTTGTGTCAGTTTGTCTGGCCGACGGCTTAGCCGCCCACGCAGACTCTCGAGTGTCTGCGACCCCTCCTCCTTCCGGCGCTGGATTCTCGGCACCGCCCCTCCTAGCCCCCGCCCCTTTACACGCACGCCCCCGACCGACCTCCGAGTATTTCTTTCCATTAGTTCCTCAGACTTTTCTCTGCTTGGTTTCTGTGCCTGAATTTCCAGAAAGTCAAGAGAGAATGAAATAAATTCAGCTTTAGAAGTACTCTGTTTTATAGAAGATAATGAGAGAACAGTAAAATTATACAGGACTGCCTCTGAGTCACTCAAATGACGTATGTTAAAAGACTAGCGATCAAAAAAATAAAGGGCTATCAGCAGCAGGTCAGAGAGATGGGAGAGGAGACAGGATGGAGAAAATGACGGGGGCAAAAGCATCTCAGTCCAGCCTGGAAAGTAAAAAATGACGATTAGGTTATGGAAACCATATTGGTGTAGACTTCCAGTATCTTCATTGCATTCATTATAAAGAGTGAGAAGTGAGGAACCAGAAGGTGTGCCACAAGGAATCTTTAAAGGTGAGACTCTTGGATATTATGGAGCCAGGAAATGTATGATTCATGGGTGAGGGATGTTGATGCATCCTATCAAGCGCACAAGTCAACCTTGTGAGCTCACCGGAATATCTAGGGAAAACAGCTTTTTTATTTTTTCTAAAAATAAAACCAATGCTGTTGCCCCACCCTAAGCCAGTAATTTAACTTGTAGATAGAACCCACCAGCAGTAGTTTTTGTAATGCTTCTTAGATGACTCTAATGCTGAGAGTTGACACCTACCAAACTGGAGAAGAGCTGAGATTCAGGGAAGGGCAGAAAGCTGGAAGAGTTGACTCTGTTACCTTGACGTGACAACGGGTAAAGAGAGTAGAGAATGGAATGCGAAGCTTGAGCAGAATGGTGAAAGTTTTAGGAAATGAGAGAAGGAACCACTCCTTTCTCTTCAGCTTATATCCAGCCCTCAGCACAATCAGGTCTGCTCAGTTAACTGCTTTTTTGCGTCTCCCATTCCCTGCACCCAGGTTTCCTCCCTGTGTCTCCTCAGGGCTCAAGTCCCATCCACATTTCTATTCCTAAAAGGGCCAGAGTTAAACCAGTTTATGAGATTCTAGTCATGACCAACATCCATTCTCCTACTAGAAATTACTACACACAGTGCATTACCAATTTGGAGTGTTTTATAATATTTATTAATCATTTAAATTGAGTTGGGAACATGATAAAAAGTTTGCTTTAAAACAGCCCAGTGGAGAGCACAAAGTATTAGAGAAAGTTCTTT